TATAATTTTTACTATTTAAGCAAATTTTCATTAAGATATAAGATCTTTAAGAGAATGTTAGAATTTGTAAACATTGTAGCATAAATTTGTAACAAAGAAACCTCATTATAAATATTATAGAAATATAACAAATAATAGAAATTTAAAATAATTTATTAAATATAACACTTGTAAAGAATAGAAAAAATTATTTATTTAATATTTAAAATTACTGTTTATTTCATTATATAAAGCAAAAATTACTATTAGTATTATTTTGATTAATATGAATTCTATAATCAATAAAATGATTTTTAAATTTGATTAATACTAGATATATCATATTTAATGTTAGATATTGATTTCCATCATAATTTAAATAAAGGTTTTAATAAGTTTAATAAATTTTATAATGCAGAATATTTATTATTATTTAATAATAAAACTTTTAATTAATTTTATTATTTTGAACTGTATATTTTAAAAATTACTAATAATAAATATATAGCATTTTAAAACTTTATAATATAATAAGTTAAATTTTACCTTTTATAATATTACAAATTAGCTTAAAAATTTAATCTGATTACATATTTTATTAATTTAAAAGTTTCTAATATTTATATTAATAAATAAATATATTATTAAGTATTCTGATTTTTATTAATAAGTATATAATATTTTTTAAATTCACTATTTACAATAAATTGAAAAGTATAAATATATATTAATAATTGAATTATTATAATATAATAATTATATTTTTTTGCATTATCAATAATTTTTATAATAATTTTATTAATTAAATTTTATTTTTCAAATAATTTATAAAGAAATTCTACAATTTTATTACTAAAATACTTATAAAAAAATTTCTTAATTATTAAAAATTTTTAATAAAATTTAAAATTAAATATATTATTATACTAATATAAAATTATATCTAAAAATCAACTATAAAATTATAAATTTCTATCAAATATTCTATTTTATAAAATAAACATTTTTTGTAAATATTATATATTTACCTAGTTTTTTTTTTATATTAATATATAATAATTATTTAATATTTTATATAATTTAATAAATGTTAAAATATTAATGATATTAAAAGATTATAAATTATCAATTATTTATTTATCAATAAATTTATATATTTTATAAGTTATTAAATTTAATTGGATTTAATTAATTATATTTTTTTCAGAATTATTTATCCCTTAAAGTATAGGTATAAAATTAATTATAAGACAATGTAAAAAAATTATAATATTTTAATATCTAGTAATTATAAAAAAATGAAATAAAGTTTATTATATTTGTTATATTAAGATATATCTAATATATAGATGAGGGATGAAATTCCTTAATAACAGTTAGAACTTAGATAAAAATTATAATAAGGGATATGATGAAACTTATTCAATATGATGAAAGCTGAAACTATGAAAACTATATTAAAAACATAGAAAAGGGTATGATAAAATTATTTTGAGAAAATTTTGGTAGGCATCTATAATCTAATAATAGTATTTTTAAATTTTTAAAATTAATAATTATTAATATATATTAATTTTTCAATTTTTATAACTTATTATCTAATAATTACAAAAAAATAAAATTAATTTATTGGATTCATCTTATTAAAACCTATTAAATGATTTTATTTGAGATTAATAGATAGTAAGATATATAAATTTAAAATTTTAACTTTTTTATAATAATTTATTATATATTTATCTTAAAAAATATCATAAAATTTATTATAAAAATATTAATTTTAAATGTTATTTTAAAAATATTTAAAATTATTATAAATAATTTTAATTATTAAATAAAATTACAGGTAAATTTACTTGTAATATACTTGAAAGAATAGTATTTTATATAAATAACAATTATATTTTACATAAAATTTTCTAATTTTAATAATTACAATATTAACTTATAATTAATTAATAGATATGATTAAAGATTTTCAAATAAAAATTTCAATAATAAAAGTAAATACTATAGCTTCAATAGCATTAAAAAATTCAAAAAATATTATTATATAAACTTTAATGCTTATCTTATTACTAGTAAGTTTTATTTTTTAACTTATTAATTTTAATTATAAATTATTAATTTATTATTATTAATTTATAATACTTAATTTATAATTAAAATTATTATATCATATTGATAATCATTAAAAATAAGTTTTATTGAAGTATCATATAAAATTTTTACTTATTATTTTAATATGCATTATGCATCATCAATAATAAATTTAGAAAATATAAATTAAAGTTTTAAAGATGATAATGATTTATTAAACCATATATATAAAAAAAGATAACATATAAAAAATATTAATGAAATTGAGCATTTCTTAATACTTTACTTACAACTTCAAAGATTAATTTATTACAATAATAAGCAAGTAATATATTTTATTAATAATTTTATATTATTTTTAAGCTTATTAATTTTATTTTTTTTTTAGTTAATAAATTATTATATTCTTATTTAGCAAAAATAGCAAAAGATTTTTTAACTAAATAAATTTAAAATTTTATAAAACTTTTATAATTTTAATTTAATTAATAAAGCTACTAGTATTTTGATAGAAAGAGCATTTTCTAAGAAAATTGATCTAATTATACAAAAAAAATATAATCTATTAGTAAAATCAATTAGAATGTATATTTGTCTTAAATTTTAATAGAAAATTATTTTAAAGAAAAAAATTTTTTAAAATAATTAATTTTAGTTTATTTTTTTATTATTTTGATTTAAATAAAATAAATATAAACTTATAATATAATTTAATTTAAAATAAATTTTTTATATTTAAATATTTATAAGTTAATCTAAAACTTGATTTGAATTTAATTTAATTTAAATAAATTTAAGTCAAAATTGAGTTAAATTAAAATTAAGTCAAGTTGAATTAAATCAAGTTTAAAATTTATATAACTCAAGGTCAAAAGATTTTAATAAAATAAACTTGATTCAATTCACTTAAAAAAAATAGAGTTGATCTTTAAATTCAACTTGATTTAATTGATTTAAAACTTTAATTTTAATTATAAATATACTTTTAGATTAGTTCAAATTACTTTAATTTACTTGTTTTATAAGTGAAGTTAATATATTGAATCAATTTAAATCATATTTTATATTTTATGAAATTTTTGAAATTGAAAAACCTAAATCTAATTTGAATTTATTGAAATATTTGAATATTATTTATTTTAAATTAAAAATATTTTATTTTTATTTTATCTAATAACTTTATTATTTATTTTAAAGAATATATTTCTTAATAAAATAACTAAAGGTAATAAAAACTAATTTATTTTTTTATTGGTAATATTCTTTAATAAGTTTAATTTAAATTCTTATATATATTTTTTTTTTATGTATACATTCAATTTTATTAGTTGATTAAGAATGTATTACATAAGAAAATAAAAAATTCTAAGAAATTTTTAATAAAAAGTTTATAGAACTTATAATTATCTAAATGAATGTTAAAGGTGATAAAATGAATAACATTGCTTATTCATTTATAATATAAATTATTACTTAATCCATTATACATTAATTAATGTAATAAAAATCAAAAGTGTACGAAAATTTTTTTCGATTTGTTTCGATGCTTAAAACAAGGATGGATTTTTTAAATATCCTTTAAACAACTTATTCGGTCATCATTAGCACTACTTTTAGCAATCCCATTATAAAATTTTTGCAATATGAAGAATTCCTAATACTAAAATATTTTAAAAGTAATTGATCATATCTGTATTTTGTTTGATCCCTTTATTAATAATTCATAATACCATTCCTCCACCAAGAATATGATTTTAAAGTCAAGGATTCCAGACAACGAATTTGAATCCTACTTAGTATTTGAATGTGGGTGAGTCACGTGCTCAATTCTGGCAACGCAAATTATTCTTGGTAAATTGATCCAAGCAACTTACTGATAAATAAAGTAAAACAAGAAATCAATCATTCTTCTACTCTGGAAAATCTGGGTAGTCAACTTCAATGACGTGACATTTCAGCCAACCAAACTTTGGTATTACTTTTTTTTTGTTTTTTTTTTATTAAGTACTTTTAGATTTAAATATTTCCATTAAATTATCATAATCATTAACCTTAGAAACTGACTTCATCATCCGATTTCTTCATGAATTAGATTAGATAGCCCTACAAAGAATTTCTCCTCCATGATTTTGCTCAATAGCTTCATTAATTTCCAAGACACCGCAAGATGTATTAATGATAGCAATTTCACCAAGTTTTAATGGTGTGATTAATTTAGCCCTTCTTCCAGCTATCAAATTCTTAAGTTCTTCAACATTCATATATACTCTCCTTGAACCTTTGCTTACACATGACATCGCTTTTAAAACTGGTTCATTATTTCGATATTTAAGGTCAAGCCATAATCTTCGACTTGCGATATTATGTGGTAGAGTTTGCACAAATTCCTTATCTGGCTCAAGGTGGTTACCGCGTTGTACAGAAGAAATAAACCCTTGTCGATAAAGGATCATGGAAATCGCAAGGTTCATTTTCGTATCTGGAATAGCAATACTTTGTAAACGAGCTCTGAAACCATTTTGGACGCGTGCGCAAATATCGTGAACTGGAGGCATCAACCAAATATTCTGTCGTAAAAGGATTATTAAGGATTTTTATGAGGGTTGTATTAAAGTAAATTTTTTTCCCAGCTCTTCTCGAAATATGAAATTTTTTTTAATAGATCTTAGAATAACAGGTTTGTCGATCTTCTACATCATTAAAGTCACGTTTTTTGCGTCTTTCAACCTTAAGCCAATCAACTTCAAGAATTCTAATTATGAAACTTTATTTGGTACAAGCTTCATTACTAGAGACCAAAAGCGAACTCTTCATATCAAAAGTTAAGCAATACGCGTCTTTATCCAACAGTTTTATATTTGAAACAATATAGTAAATCTTAAAGTTTTATAAAAGCAGCTAAAGCTATTAAAATTGAGAAAATGTCTACAGGAAGAAGTTCAACGCGCCCATCACGACTTCAGTTTAAACTAAACTTTGTTTCAGCAGCGTCACAAAAAATAATTTCCACACCAGAGCTAGTAAAAAGGCTAAAGGTATAGAGTGATTTTTAAAAAGTATGTTTATATCCGAGAAATCCTTTTACAATAAATTTTTAATATATAGAACTTATTTGGAGAAGTTTCCGTAATGGATCAAGAACAAGTTGACCTTGATTCTTTAAAAGGCGTAACTCGTGACTTGATTAACGCAAATTTAATAAGTCACAAAGATCAGGGAGTAAAGGCTTATGTGGCTTGTTGTATATCGGATTTGCTGAGACTATATGCACCAGATGCACCATATAATGCCCGTGAACTCAAAGTAAGAAAAAAGTAGTATGAAACCTTGAGAGTTATCTGGACCTTGTTATATTATACATATCAATCAACTTTTTTTTTTTTACTTTTTATTAGGACATTTTTGTTTTTTTTGTTCATCAATTACAGAATATTGGTGATAAAGATGGTCCTTATTTTGATCTATATTTCCATCTGCTTGAAAATTTAGCAAGAGTTAAAATAGTATTGTTGATATTGGATCTTCCAAATTGTGAAGAACTCTTGATTGAACTATTCAGAGATTTCTTTGATATAATTAGGTCAGTTTGATATTTCCACGTTTTTTGTACACGTTTGTGTAACTAATCTATTAATTCATATTTAATGCAGGTCAGACATGTCAAATATTGTTCATTCACATATGGTGGACATTCTTGAACAACTAATTAATGAAAGTGACGGGTTACCTCAAGATATGATCGATGTTATACTTGCACAATTTTTAAAGCAGCGAAAAGTATTTTTATTATATTTATAGATAGCTTATTTACTTACCAATTCCTAATTGTCTGAATCTTTTATTTTATTTTATTTTTTTTGTGTGGGTTTATTTAGGATGAAAATCCGACGGCTTATCAATTAGCCAGCGAAGTTTGCAATCGCGCAACGGATAAGTTACAGCGATACGTTTGTCAGGTGAGTTAATCTTTATAAATTTTCCATAAGAAGTTCATCCAGCTTTCAAGTATCAACAAATCGGCGTACTCAGTATTTTACAGATGTTATCGTTGAAGCTGATAGAAATGGGACATCTACAGAAGAGCTGAATGACTTCAAAACAGCTCATGATCTTATCAAAGAGCTGAATAGAGCTGCGCCTGGGTTATTGTTAAATGTCATACCTCAATTGGAGGAGGAATTGAAAGTGTGTATTTTAAGTTATACAATTTATTACTTCCGATATATATTTATAGTAATATAATATATCTATACTTATATTTTTTAGTTGGATGATACTCCTTTACGTTTGCTTGCAACACAAGTTCTTGGAGAAATGTTCTCTGAGAAAGATTCTACTTTAGCTAGTCGTTACGAAAATGTTTGGAAAATGTGGTTACTTAGGTTAGATTTGTAATTTGATTTTAGATTATTTTTTGCATCTTACTAATTTAAATATTTAATTTTTCAAAAAGACGAAATGATAAAATATCTGACGTTCGATGTGCTTGGATAGAATATTGTTTACCTCTTTACATTAATCATCATGAATTGGCTAAACAGATAAATGGTATGAAATGTAAGATTTTCAAGTGCAACTTAATTTTTACTAACTTTTTCTTTTTTTGGAAATTACGTAGAAGCAATAATCTCCAAAATGTCGGATCCAGATGATAAAGTTAGAATTGCTGTATGCAAAGTTTTTGGACAATTAGAATACGAGTGTGCTTCAAAACTTGTGGAAAAAGAATTATTTTTTGAGTTAGCTCAACGTTGTCGCGATCGTAAAGTAATTAAACTATTTTTTTTTGACTTTATAAGTAGATTTACTTTATTTACATTTAAATTAAATTTCTTAGCACGGAGTTAGACAAGAGGCAATCAAAGCTTTAGCACGCCTGTATAACATGGCTTATAACGAGATGTATGTAACATTATAAATATTTTTTATATTCGTTTAGCTGAAAATTCTAATTTTCATTTTTAATAGCGTTGATCATGACGAAAATGCGATTGAAAAATTTGGATGGATACCCTCAGAGTTACTGAATACTCTCTATTTAAATGATAATGAAGTCATGTAAATATAAATATATATTATATTTTCTTATTCATTATTCTTTATTTTATTAACTACACTTTTCATTATATCTCATTAGTGTTTGTGTTGAAAAGGCAATGCATGAAGAGATATTAGCATTCAATCATGGAGATTCGGCGCGTATGGACCGAATGATTGTTGTTTTCGGGTCACTTGATTCAAAAGCTAAGAGGGGATTTTTCTCTTTGCTCCTCCAAAGACAAATAGAGTAAGAATTTTAATATAACTTCATATTATCTTATTTTATTTTAATTGTAACTTACTATTTATAACATTTAGTGCGATTAGCGACATGAAATCATTTTTGAGTATTTGCGAAAAATACAATGTATATTTTATTTATCAATTATTATTATTTTTCAATTTTACTATTATTAAGAATATTCTTCTTTGTCTTCAAACTTATTAAGGGTGATTCTAATAACGAAAAATTGTCGAATATTTTGAATCAAACCGTTGAACGTATTTCGGGTCAGTTCAAATACATTTTTTATATAAAATTTTTAAATCACATATGAAAAAATTTGACAATCTTTTTATTTTATAAACATTAGAAAAACTTCCAGACCCAATGAAATCGAAAAATCATTTATCAGTATTTGCGAAAATCCAGGATACGCGCGTTTATAAGTTAATCCGAGATTGTATGAATCCACAGTCAGATTATAAAACTGTACGAAGTTCTGCCGTAAATATACTTTTTAAAATTTTTTGTTTCTTTAAATAGTTCTAAATTTATTCTTAATGCAAATGAATTCACATAACTTATATTTTTCTAGAAGGATGCACTTAACAGGATTGAACAGATAGCTGCATCATCATTTGAAACATTATCGATTTTAATACGACGCATTAGCTTAACAATAATTAATAGAGATTTGGTTCCTTTGCTTATGAACAAAGTTAAATCTGATGGTGAACAAAATGCTCACTCAATCGCTTATGAGCTGTTTACGGTGATTTGAAATTCATCAAAAATTTTTGTGCGAGTTTAAACAGATGAACTAAATTTCATCATTTTCAATATCGATAGGAAATCTCATCCCGATTTCCGGTTATATTTCGATCACATCTTGAAAAACTAACTATGCTTCTTAAGGAAGAGGACGAAAGCGCAATGATCGGTATAATATTATTTACAGTATATTCATACTTTCATTTGCAAATGTGCTGATTATTTTATTCTCATTCATAGTCGAGAACAGCTTAGAGGCACTTTCTAAATTCGCAAAGACTTTTCCCGATGAAGTACCTCATGATAGGTTAGTATGCTTTTTTTTTTTTAAGAACTTTGAGCCTGAAGGCCATTTCTTATACTTTTTAATCGACTAATGTATTTAATTCGCAGAGAAACTATACAGCGCTATATACAATTTGCATTAAATGGGTCTTCACGACAAGCTAAGTTTGCGTCTATAATCCTCATTCATGTTCAGAAGCAACTAATATGCAACGATTTATTTAACGTAAACTACGATTTTCTTATTGTATCAACTTTGTTTATTATTTATCGATTGCCTTTTTATTAATGTTTATTTTTTTTGAAATTCTCAAGAAAATTATTCCCAATCTTTTGGTAAATTCACCAAAAATAATATCATACCTTTCAGCGTTAAGCCAATGTGCACTTTATACGCCTACGATTTATGAACAAAAAAGTGATACTATTACGAATTTCATAATCAAAGAATTAATTATGAAAAATCATAATGTTTGTGTTAAAGATCTAACGATTTTATTGAGTTTATAATATATTTCATTTTAATTCTAATTCTTCATTTTGTATCTTGTACCTTGAAATAGTCTATTGTTGTAGACAAAACCATATGGGTTGATGATGATGAACTCGATGATGAGTGTAAAGCAAAGGTATTTTATTTATTTATTTATTTATTTCTTTCTTTAATTACAAATTATTATTTATTTAACTAGGTATCATAGTATTATTACAGTAAATAGTTGTGAAATTTTAAATGAACATCAATGAAGGTCAATTATTACACTGAAACGAATTCATGTTCCTTTTATGTTGTATATTTTGTTAATGCTTACGATAAGACCTATATATCTATTTATTTTGTTATATAATACAATTTTATGTCTTTATGGATATTTAACTAATATATTAATATTTAATTTGTAATATTGTAAATAGGTTTTAGGCATAAAAGTTCTTGTGAATCGTTTACTTGCTATATCGGATACAGATAATGCACTCGATTTAGCAAATCCAGTTTTTAAATTGCTTTGGAAATTAATAAGAGAAGGTGGTGAACTTCTTCCTGATGAATCCACTAGGTAATCAACTATCGTATATTTCATGTGTTAAGGTATTGTTTATTGTGATAATAAATTTGCTTTACTTTTTATTTAATAAGACCATCACACAAGAGTCGTTTGCGATTAGCCGCTGTTCGTTCCGTATTGAAACTAGCAAGGAAAACGATTTACGACACAATGATTTCTATTACGGAATTTCAAAAACTAGCACTAATGATACAAGTATATATTAATTATTATAATTATCTTACCTTTAGAAATATACATGTATAGAACTGAAATGGTTTTGCACATATAATTATTTAGGATACATGTTACAATGTTCGTTTTGCGTTCGCTTCGCAGCTGATTAAATATTGTGGCAAACATCAGCTTACCACGCGATTTTTGACTATATTCTTTTTAATCGCACATGATCCAGATGTAACAATTCGTGAAATGGTAACTTGATTAAGATTTTATGTCATTCGATGATTTTATAATAAAATTGTTAATATTTCTTTTTGAATTAGGTCAAAGCTTTTCTAACGAGATATTCTCTTGCATCAAGAACGATTCGTAAGTGCATGGTTTCTCCTATATATATATATGTATATGTTTTTTTTTTATATTTATTTTTTTTTTTTTTGAAAAAAAATATATTTAGGTGACAAATCTATGCATTTGGAAATGTCTCTAGCTCAACTTATTCACCTTCTTTCCCATCATCCTGAATTTTCCCGTGAACCAAATACTCTAAACGAATTTGTTGTGTGAGTTAATTACTTGTTTGAATTTTAAATTTATAACAGTAAAATATGAATATATACTTATTTCTTATGTAGATATATCGATTTTTACTTGGATACAATTGCGAACGCAGAAAATGTGTCTCTATTATCATACATAGTTGGTCGATTAAAACAAGTTCGTGATGTGCATTCCTCGGAACAATGCGAGGTTGTATATATATATAAATATATATATAAAAATTGCATTCTTGTATATTATATATAATATATGTACTTATTTTTTCTCAATAATTTAGAATCTTTATATTTTGAGTGATTTGTCTCAATACCTTATCCGAATTAAGTGTAAATCTCATTCTTGGGCCTTACACGCATTTCCTGGACAAGTTGAACTACCCAGAAATTTATTTAAAAGCTTGCCAAATCCTGAAGTTATATCTGAAGTTTGTACTTTTTTTAAAAAATTTATTTTCACGAAGTATACTTAATCAAACTAATTTAACCGTACTTTTTCATAGATCATGAAAAAGAATCATATCCCCAACGAATTTCTTAAAATATTAGAGATGAAACTTGAATCCACCAATAGTAAAAGTAGTAAAAGTAGTAAAAGTGACAAGGTTATTTTGAACTTTATATCGTATCTAATTTTAATTACTAAATCTCAAGATATATTTATTATAACATTAAATTTATATTTTATAGACAAAAATAAATAAAAGAGGGCGAAAGCCTTCGGGTCAAGCTTCTAATAAGAAACGTAAAGCTGATGATTATCATGGAATTCCATCTACTTCAACACGAAAGTAAATATAAATTTTTTAATAATTAGTTAATTAAATTCGTATAAGAATTAAAGTTGAATTTTTTTTTTATATATATACATATGTTTAGGACCGTACCAAGAGCTGCTAAATCTAATATAAAATCAATGGCGATTATATCAACTAGTAGTGAAGAAGAATTAGATTCTAATAATGCGTCTGAAGCAGATAGTGATGTAGAATTGAATGACGATGGAGAATAAAATTAATAATTTAGTTGTGTATTTTTATGAACTAAACACTTTAATAAAGAATATTTTCATCATATTCTTTGACATCGTCACTTTTAAAAGCTGTCAGCTCTACGAATAGCATAATACCCCCTTCTCAACTCTCTTAATTTATATTTAATGAATTAATAAATAGATTTTTTTTTTTATTTACAGTATTTTCATCAAATTAAAAAAAATAAATGACGCATTTAAATTGGTTTCTTGCTTCACTCTACAGCTTATAAAAATCAATTCTGTATTATATAAATCAAAAGATCAATAAATAAAAATAAAAAAAGACCAAGAAAAAAGCCATTCTAAAAAAAATCTATGGAAGGATTTCAAACAATTATTTGATGTAAAAAAAGCTTTTCATACGAAACAAATCCTAGAAAACGACATTCCAATACTGAGTTAATGAGAAAATGGAAAGATTATCAAGATAATATGATTTCAATTGATATTAATAAAAATTGTATATTGACAATACTTTACCTCTTCATTTGATATTTATAAGATCAAGTATAATAGTTTTAAATTTTTTATCATACTTTTAATTTAATTTAATTTAATTTATTTTTTTTTGATTGAAACCATAAAAGGCACGGAATTTAATAATTGAATTCCTAATGTTTTAATATCAATAATTTTCCTAATAAATATTTATATATTTGCATAATATACATGCTTAACCAACTTAACTAATGCTGATGTTTTCTTTAATAATTTTGACCCGATGTTCAACGCTTTGTTAAAAGAAAACGATCATTTATTATATTAACGTTATGGATATAAAACTTAATAATGAAATTATAATGGCTAATCAGACATGCTCGTATGACGTTTTCTACTCCTCTTCAAAATCATTTCGCAAATTATAATAAAGTATTAGGGCATAAGTAGTTTGGCCACAACAGGAAAAAAATGTGCGAGCAAAGAAGTTCTCAAAATTTGTTACTTGGAGGTAAAAAGAGGAGGAACCGCGGGAAACAAAAATTTGCTTAACGTTTATTTAATTAATCAAAAATTAAAGTTACTTTATGAAAGAACATCCCAGCTTGAGATGATTATTTAATCACATTTTAATTCTTCGTTGTATTTGAACACTTAATTCTACAAATAAAATCTTCTCACACTGCGTTTTCCAGCAACTATTCATTTTTTAAAGGATCAAGATTCAAGCAGCTCAAATCACAATGTTGAAGTTAATAATAATAGAAAGCTATTTATTACTTATCACGTGATTCAATTGATAAGAATCTTACAAAGCCATGCATAAAAATTCTTCTTACTCTCAGTATATATACATGTCAAGTTTCTCCCGATTATAGACGTGTTCATGAATTAAATAAAAATTCTCATCTTTTATTCGTTTTAAAAAATATTTTTTCTTATGATTTATAATTTAATCCTTTATAGTTCATACAAAATCTCGGACTTAAATAATGTTGCTTATATGTTAAATTTATGATTTATTAAAGAAATACGCAATTGTGTCAATAATGAATGACCAATTCATATACTTTATTATTAAAAGTTACCTTTCAATATTTATTTATTATATTTTTCATACTCTATTACTTGTTTGTTTCACTATTTGGTCGCAGATCTCAAGTTCCACTTTTTGGTGGAACTTGCGGGGGTCGAATGACCAGAAGGTTCATCACCCGTGGAGTTAGCACCAGATGGATGGTCGCAATCTGCACATCGCCAAATATACCCGCCCGTGGGCATTGTACGCCTAGGAGGGACCATGCAGGCTAAATGGTACCAATTGCTACAGTATCCACAACGCACCATTCGGTTGACTTTGTCTCTTCCTTTATGTAACATTGACTCTCTTGCACGATTTGGTGTGATATAGGTCGCTGAAGGTTGGTCGTTTGCCGGCGGAATTACGAGTTGGCACACTGTACAATTTGGTTGTGGTATAGGTGTTCGAGGCTGTATAATTTCTTCCTCTACAGCCTTGACTTTTGGTTTTCGTCCAGCTTTCTTCCTTGTTCCAGTAACTGGTCCTCGTTTTCTTCTCAACTTTGTGCCAGTGTATTGTCCAGGCGTAAGCTGTTCTTCACTAATTGCAGTCTCCGCCGTATCCGCCGTATCTGGAGTATTTGCCATATCCTGTGTTTCCTGTGTTGATGTAACTGATCCTTCCTTCGAATCTTCATCTTGTGGTTGAACAACAACGGTTTCTACATTTTGGGCATCATTGTCTTCTGACGTCTCTTCTGACGATCCAAATGTTTCGTTGTCAACTTGAACAATATTATTCGTGCTTGTGCTCGTGATTGAACTTGTGCTCATGATTGAACTTGCGCTCGTGGTTGAACTTGTGCTCAAACTTGTTCTAGCACTTGAAATATTACTGGCGCGTGTATTTTGATCAGAAAAATTTAAGAAATCCGCGCTTTCCGATTGGTAAGGGGTAACAACTTCTTCTGAAGATGGAGATGACGATGATGATGAAATGGAGTAAACTCGTCCACTAGTGCATGATTCATTATAAAATAAGTCATCGTGAGCATCATGAATTTGAGATTGATCCTGCAAAGTTTCTTCCGTTGCTTCATCCTGGATTTCGTCGTCATCATCATCTATTTGAAATGGCGTAAGTTCTGAAGATCCGGGAATTCTTTCAACAAATTCAGCCGCTGTGACAAGTGCATCTAATCCATTGATATTAGAAGTATTCCCGGCTGGTGTTTGGACATTGCTTGTCACATTATTGAATGTGCTGGTGCCTTCATAGGAACTTGTAAACGTCGGAATCGAATCATTTTGGTTCGTTGGTACATATGAATTTGTAAAAGTACTAGTATCCGTTTGATTCGTCGGAACAAAAGGCGTATAATTTGTGGTACGGACAATAAAAGGATTCGAAAAAGGTGTATTAAGTTCTCCTTGGTCAACATACGAATTTGTAAATGTATTTGATCTACTTTCACTAATACTTGCGTGTGTCGTCGATGGAACTCCAAACGTCATTTGATTGGGACTTAGATCTGCCATAAAGTATCTCTGTTGGAGAGGAGGTGTGTCCGCACTGGTATCAGTAGTACTGCCATATCCGATGCTTTGAGCTGATACAACGTTGTTACTGGGAATAGATTTCTGATACAAACAGTCATTACTATCGTTATAATTTTTAGTAGCCTCATAAAAATAAGTGTGAGCATACGTATCAAAGATAGTTGAAGTGCTTGAAGGAGAGTCATCTACAGGATTTAGTAAATTGCTAATACCAAGAAGTCCACCGCTTCTTTTGTTAAAGGAGATATCTTCATTGATTATGTTGATACTGTCATGTTGGGTTATAAATTCAGGTGTAATTGTACTAATGCTAAAACTTTCACAGGAGGTTGGAGTACTTTCTATAACGTCATTAGTTGTATATTCTATATCTTCACTTTCAGGATTTTTGTGTTTGCCGATATTGAGAACAACAGGAAAACCATCCTTTGGTGCAATGGGACGAAGTTTTGGTTTTGGTTTGGGACTAGCCGGAGCTACTTTACGTCGTCGCCTTCTTTTGAAGACCATTTTTGGTTCAACTCTAGTTACCAAGACCGGCTCATTAGGTTTGCACGTGCTCATGGTTTCATTGGAAGTCGTGGACGGACTATCTTGAACTGTTTCTGATGTTTGCTCATCTTGGGCGGGAGATGAAACTTCTTGATCATTGTAAGTACTCTTTGATGTTTTTTCGCTCTTTTCTTTATTAGCGGGTTTTCTCGATCTCTTGTATTGTCTCTTTGCTGGAATGGGCTCTGTGACTTCGTCAGCTTTAACTTGATCGCTATTATTGGATTGAATCTGTTCGTCTCCTTCGACGGTGTTTTCAAATGGAACATCTGAAGTTCGCTTCCTTTTACCTTGTCTGGTGTTTCTCTTTGATGAAACGGTTGATGTCTCAGTGTTTACTTGACTTGCTTGAACCTCAACCATATCGGTTGATTGAGAATTCGTAGAAAGATTTTCTTGGACTCGCTTTTTCTTTGATAATTCCGTATGATCTTCAGGATTAATATTTGTTGGGTTTTGGGTTGTATCTTCGAAAGTTCCTACTTCTTCACGCTTTCTTTTTGGTCCTCTCTTTGCAATTCCTGCTGCTAACTTGTCATCTCGCCTAATGAACTTCAACCGAGCTTTTGATAATTTTTTAGGCGCGTTGGTTTTTTCTGCTGATTCCGTATCTTTTTGATTGCCACTTTCATCTTCGATTTGCTTTGACTTTCTTTTGACACTTGCGACCCGAGATCTTGTTGTTCTCTTAGGTGATCGTTGTTCTCCACCTTCATCGCCTTCCGGAGTTTCTTTTTGACCCACGGCCCTCTCTTTTACTTTAATTGGTGCCTTGGGCCTGCCCCTACCCTTGAATCCACCTCGTCGCCCTTTTTGACGAGCCCTTTCTTTCTCTTCTTTAGCCGCTTTGGCCAATGCTTTAACAACACTTTTGATGTTTAAGGATCTCACCTCGTGTGTGTTAAGCTGACTTACTTTGATGGTTTTTGCGGTTGTTCTTGCTTCTGTAGTCCAACGAATCTTGGCAATACTCGTCATCGTTTCCATTAAGTTTTCGATTTTCATTGCCTCGTCACTAGTCTCGACATTAATGTTCCGCATTTGTGGGACCAAAGATATAACGGCCTTACTTGCTTTATCAAAATAATTTTTTAAGGCATTTTGTTCGGCCTTCGCAATAGGGATCTTTACCCGAAAATCTATTGCGTTGTTTATTGTCTTTTCCTTCGTTTCAAGAAGAGCGCTATATTTTGATGATAGCCGCACGAATCGTCGCCGGATATCCGTAATTCGTTTCTCGCGTTGTGAGGTGTACTCAGCATACGTATCTTCGAAAATTTCTCGAATATTTCCACCGGGCTCCCCGTCCTGGAATTGAGAACTACGCTCTTTCCAGCGTCTGGAGGATTCGTCCTCAAGGAACATGTCTCGCTTTCGGATCCACCTTTCGACTTTGCTTTTCCGAGGTTGATCACCTGACCCATGTAGTCTGCAGTACTTTTTTTTTAATGAAAAAAAGAGAATAGAATTCGTTATTATATAAGAACAATGAATGGCATCGCGTGAGTAACGAATCACGAGATAGAAATCTATGCTGCAAAATTAAAAAAAATTACGTACGATAAAATACGGGTCCGAGATGTCCTGTTCTTCCAAGTATTCGGTGAGCCCAAAGGACACCGCACACGTTGCGTGAATCCAATTCTTACACTGTCCAGCATCACAATGTATTGACGCTCCTTCATCACTGTTACAGACGTTGCATTTCTGAAATGAAATGTTATAAATACCTATTAATATAAAGTTAAAATCATTCAGATTTTTGAAAAAATACTTACTTTACCCCAGTTCTTTGGATCGACATTCACGACTTGAATGTCTCTCAAGTCAAGAGCCGAACCAATATGCATGCCCGGCATCCAAAATGCGCATAAAATGTGTATCCAAACCAATGGATCATTAGGATCACAAGAAGCCCTTACTTTTCGAAAAGCTCCATTGTCATTGGGACACAAGACGCAGTGCTGTTAAATGGGAATAAACGCTTATTTATACATAACACTACAGAATAAATTTAAATAATAAATAACAAATATCTTTTATACGATTCGCTTACCACTGCTTCCGAAGGCATCGCAATACAACGATCACAGTACCATGGGTCTTCCTTCAATGGGAGTGTTGTAATCCCATAGCAATCTAATAAAAATAATAAAAAAGTATGTGATGGTTAGTAAAAAATAATAATAATAATAATAATTAAATCATTGAAATAAATCGTGTAAATCAAAAAAAAACTGCGCCACATATAGTTCATACCTTGATGTACGACTACATCACATTCTTTGCCATCACAGTAAACAAGAACATTTTCTTTGGTTGCATCTTCATCTATACAAACGCAACAAAGTCCTGGGTCTGATCTTTTCTATTAGCGATAAAAAAAAAAAAAAAAAAAAAAAAAAAAAATAAAGAATAAAGAATATAAAAAAAATAATAGATATTTTAGATATTTTTTTTGACCGGCAATTGTAACAGTAAATAATATTTCGAAGTCAAATATTGCAATAATGTTATCTTTTACTTTTTTTTTTTTTTCCAGCAAAAGTAATTTTTATTTTATTTTTTTTTTTTAAAAAAAAAAGCTTACCCATTTTCGTAGCCACTTTGCCCTCGGTGACTGGTCGGGTTCGTTTTCTTCTGAACAACTTTGTTCCCCTTCCTGAACAACAACAACTTCATGTTGATTGCTGTCTCCCTCTTCACCTTCGTTGGCTGGTTCTGGTGCTGGTGTTTGTGTTTGTGGCGCTGGTGTTTCTTCATGATAACCAAAGTCGCTATCATTTTGTTCGCTCACAATAGTATTTTGTGAACTTACGTTGATCTCTTGTTCGCTCAACGTACCTATTTCATATTCATAATCAGTATTTGTGACTTTTCTGGCAGCTCTTCGTTTTCGCAGAGTTGCCATATTTTGCTTTGTTGTTGGCCTATAATTATTTTATCAAATAAACAAATGAGGAGTGTTTTTTTTTTTTTTTTTATTTTTTAAAAAAAAGTCTTTTCGATGAGTTTGCACACTTTTGATAAATGCGAATTTAATTAAATATTAGTCTCAGACGTGCCGGTTGCTCTGAAATTTTAATGGATTTTCAGGTTTTTAACGAATCAGATTTCTAGCTTTTTTTAATGACTGGGGTAACTGAACTATCGAAAGCGTAATATTTACCGACTGAAAAAAGTTTTTCTAAGTCTAGTAAAAAAAAAAAAAGATATTTTTTTTTTTTTTTTTTTAAAAAAAAAAAATTGCAGCAAGTTTTACAAATCTAGAGTTATCAGTCTAAAAAGAAATGAAACTATATAAGGCTGTTCACCATTATGTAAAAAAGCTTATAAACTTTTTTTATTTTTCAAAATAAGCATAAAATATTTACGTAAAGTACAAGAACTATGGTATAAGTTATCTTTGAAGATTTTAAAGTTTCCGAAAGTCACATCTCTAAATTTATAAAGCCATTAACGTTGGGTCTCATATAGACATTTAATCCACTTTTGAAAATTAGAAAAAAAATAAAAAAATTAATTAATAGTATCTGCCTAGGAAATCCACTCACTCATTATATTTTGGAATATATGAAAACGAGGCAACTTCAAAAAAGAAACCGAATTTATTTTATATTTTATTTAGTCCAGATTTAACAATTTACTACTACAAATCGCCCATATTTTTATGTTTAACACTTATTTGAATAAAATAAGATTATGTGTATGTGAATATATATACATATACTGTATCTTAACGAATTTGCTAATATGTTAAACATCTTTTAACATTAAAAATCTAATTGTTTGTAAAAAAAAAAAAAAAAATATACTATCATAAAATAATTTCTGATTTTCTCGGAATTTCCTATTATGGTCTGGAAACATTCACCAAAAAAAAAAAATGGGGCTGAGTATCAACAATTAAGGAAAAGCTAAAAAAAACCCCACACTTTTTGTGCTACTTTTGTTTGATTGAACGATTTATTGACAAAAAAATGTTGTATTAAAATGGTTGGATTAACATAATTTTTTTTTCAAAAGAATTAATACTGCGGTATTGTAAATCGCTTTTAAAGTTTTTAAATAATATTATCTAAAAAAGTCGAATTCTTTTTGAATCCTTACATTCAGTTGAAATATGATTTTATTTACATTGTTGTAATAACATATATTTACCAACCTTTTTCTTTGAATGGAATCAATTAATTGATGTTTGCCTATAAAGATATCATCAAGCAAAAATAAGCAAAATGTTATATGTATGTACGTATTTTTAGTTCATCGGAGAATTAAATTAGGGTGTAGCCACGTGGATTAAAACAAACTAACTAAAGTGCAATTGTTTATCAAATTTAGTAAGACATTTATCGTCAATTAATTGCTCATTGTTTGTTTGCCTTTACTATTTTGGTTATACTCGTGAAACAGGTTAATGTAAATCTAAGATCTTCGTTTGCGGGCTTGCATGATGAATTTTATACCTTTATCTGATAAAAACAAAGAAGGAATGATAAAGATTCTTGATTTTATTGATGGAATTTTAAATGTTAAGAGCAACATTGGTGATAATTTGATATTGTAGATCATGGCGAAAAAAAGAAATCCTCGGTCTGATCTTCGCGGTTGATCTTCGCGGTCGAGCTCAATTCTGAAATTTTCATTCATTAGATCTTCTCAAACATTTTTTTATCCCTTTAAACGGTGATGCAGATTGCCTGCAACTTTACCGAAAAGTTCGACTCTACATCACCTTTTATGCATATCACGTGATTATGATCATCCCTCAACTTGTAGTCGCAGTGTAATGTTTTCAAATCAATCTTACATTAGATCAAAATTTTTTAATCCAATATGTTGAATTTATTGATTTAAAATATTTTTGCGTCTTGCCAGTGTTACCTGTAACGTTGCATAAAGTATGCCCCTGAAAATGTACTTCCTTGTGAGTAACCAATCAGGAATCCGATATCTGTCCAATTTTGGTTGATGCAAGTTTTCAGATGCATGTGATGCAAACTTGAAATCGGATTTTGATTGGCTAATTTTGAGTGCATCAAATTATTATAATTTAGTCTCGTCTATAAAATAAAATGAGTGTATCACATCCCCTCCCTTTTCATTTTTCATATATATTCTGGAAACATAAATTTTTCGTGTGTGAACCCTATTTGTTACATAGTTTAGTATCACATGGTTTAGAGTTAGGTTAGGAAAAGGTATATATATATATATAAATTTGATTGAAAGCTTTCAATACAAATGAATTTATTAGAAAATTATGCTTGCTTCCAATCCTTCCAAAAGTGCTTCTAAGAGTGCTTCCAATCTTCCAAGTGCATATCACTGTATAAAGGTATAAGGAGTATCACCTCCCATAATGAATAAATTTATTCATAAAATAAAATAATATAATAAATTAATATATAATAAAATTTCACTTTTATTTTTCTCTTAAATGTGATTTATTTATAAAAACATTCTAAAGTCTATAAGCAAAATATTAATCCTTCAGAAATATCTATACATATAATCTAAACTATTTTATCAATATTAAAAGTCAAATGTATAATAAAGTATTAAAAGTCACTAGACACTTAAAAATTAGAAAATCAATAAAAAAAGTTATTTCAAATTAAATTTTTATTATCTAGAGCAAAGCGTAAGATATTATACTTTTAGAAAATATAAAAAATTTAATCACATAAGTATTTTCATTATTACGTCACATGTATAATAAGATCAGTAAATAAAAAAATAAAAACAAAATATTAAAAATAAAAATTTATTTATTTATATTTATTGATTTACAAAGGATTTTTAAACATTTACACACATTTTTTTGTATGAATTTAATTATATTTTTATTAAATAAGCAAATAATTTACAAATAATAAATATTGTTTCTAGAATAGTAAATTAAATTTTATACTAAGCTGTTTATTATTTGATCAAACTATCATTTTTATCTAAATATATTACCACTATCACAAATATAATAAATATTGCAAATCTCAAAAAAATTGTAAATTCCATATGATTTGTTTTATACATTCATAATTTAAGATAAATGGCTTGTTTAAAGCTTCATCCTTAACCTGATCGAAAATTTATGAGACAAAATTAAAAAATCTTTAAAGCTAAAATGTAAATTTCATTAACCTTTTCTTACTTGAACAACAAATACAAAAAGCTTAAAAATTAATTACTTCTAAAAAATCAAAAATTTAATCAAAAGTATGTTTTGATGAATTCAGGTAGTAATTAATGCAAATAGTAGTCCAATCAAGTATTAAACCCTTAATAAAATTTATATTTTAATAGTCTAAAAAATATTATTTATTATTTGTAAATTGCTTAATTGCTTAATAAAATTTTGAAAAAAATCGTCAAAAAAAGTGTATTTATTAATTAAACTTATTTTTCATATAAATAAATAAATATCTTCAAAAACTTCATACTAATTACATTTATATTTGTGAAGATTAAATTAATAAAGTATAAAATTTTGGTGAAATTTTAAAAAGATTAATATTTTACATAATTTGTAACTACAGTTAACTCTTATTATAATGAACTCAATATGCTAAATCTCAATTTCACTATAAGATTATAGTAAAGATTTTAAGAGATTTAATTAGCCAATTCGTTATAACAAAAGTATCTTTATTATATTTATTCAAAAATTCATTATATCAAAAATTTGTTATATTAAGAGTTAACTGTATATCAATTCAATATCTATATATATAAATACTATTAAATTAAAATCTAATAAATAAAAATATTTTTAATATAATAAATAAGTTAAATTAATAAATATAATAAGTTATAGCTAATGTTCTGTAAAATTAAATTGATCAGATTTAAATAAAATCTGATCTGATTTAATTTTTATTTTTAAGATCCAAATCTGATCTGAATTTGATAGATCTGTTAAATCCAGATTCAATTCAAATTTAATAGATCAATTTAAATTCAAATATGATCTGATTCAAATGAAAATTTTTATTGAAAAAATAATTTTTTAGCTAAGAAAATATGACAAATATTATGCTAAACATTACCTGTATTTTAATTACTAATATTTAATTTAAATATATATATTTATAACTACAATCTAAAGTTAACAAAATAATCTTATAAAAGAATATGATTTACATTAGAGTTTTAAAAATAATTTATATAAACTTACATATTTAATTCATATGATTGTATATAATTATAAATTTTAGTTATACATAATAAATAAATACTTTAAATTAAAGGTATATAGGATAATTTTGACTTAAAATTTGACTCAATTTGACTTATTAAGAATACTAGTTTATATATCATATAGGAGCATTTTTAGGAAAATCAGGTTCTGAGAAATTTTTAACTAAAATTAAGAGATTAATATATTTTAATTTAATAATATTAAAAACTAAAATGCAATAAAAATCTCAATTTTGTTAAAAAATTCCCAAAACCTGATTTTCCTAGTAATTAACCTATATTGCTAATTTTAATAAGAATATTGCTCTAAAAAAGATCTAAAAAATTATTTTTTTTCAATAAAAAAATAAATTTTAGCTCTAAAAGAAATCTGAAAAGTCATTTTTTTTAATGAAAGAAAACAATTTTTAACTTTAAAAGAGGTTTGAAAAATCATTTTTTTTTTTAATGAAAAAAATCAATTTTCAGTTTTAAAAAGGTCTGAAAAGTCATTTCTTTTCAATAAAAGGAAATAAATTTTCAGCTTTAAAAAAAATCTGAAAAAAACTTTTTTTTAATAAAAAAAAAACAAATTTTCAATTTAAAGAAATTCAAAAAGTTATTTTTTTTAATAATTAAAACAATATTTTTAGTTTTAAAAAGGTTTAAAAAGTTATTTTTTTTTAATAAAAGAAACTTTATCAGCTATAAAGAAGTTTGAAAAGTTATTCT